ATAGTATGTTAAATATACTACAGTATATAGTATATTAATAGTATGTTAAATATACTACAGTATATAGTATATTAATAGTATGTTAAATATACTACAGTATATAGTATAGTAATAGTATATTAAATATACTACATTAAATATAACAGTATAATAGTATGTTAAATATAACAGTATATAGTATATTAATAATATATTAAATATATTATAGTATATAGTATATTAATAGTATATTAAATATACTATAGTGTAGTTAAATATAATATAGTAATAGTATATTAAATATAACAGTTAGTATATTAATAGTATATTAAATATAACAGTTAGTATATTAAAATATAACCCAGGCGAAACGAATAACAAATTTATTTATTTCTTAATGATTTCTATCCGTTTGAATTCGAAAAGATGACGAATTACTGTACACGGTTTGGCCACTCGTTACGGTCCGCAATCAGTTACCAGCGCAGGAGGTTATAATAACCGTAACATACGTGAATCGACAGGCGATCGGGAATTCTTTCAATTCTTGCGCAGGAATTTTCTACCAGTGGATCAGATTTTTTTCATCTTTACCTGGGATCTCGTTTCATTCTTCAATTATCTATTTACTTTGATCGTTTAAATAACCGTGCCACGTGTGAAGCAAATAGAACACGCACGGAATCTGAATTCAGTTTTAACGTTTGATTAACCGTATCGGTGGCCGTAGATCCGCTGGATCGGTTTCGAAATGCACGAGCGCGACCGATATGGAATGAATTTTGCAGAAAAGACATTTCACGTCCGGCGGTTCAATGGAGCTGATTGTTATCAGAGACCGCTGTAAATCTTCGTTTATGGACGGCGCGTGGAGAGAACACAGTCAGCCCCAGTAATGGATGCTATTAAAAGGCTGGCTCATGTTACTGTAATTAGTTCGAAACATTGATCGCATTAAAGTGCTCTTGATTCTTCTTCAGCAAAAAAGGAAACGAAAACAGAAAAAGTCCGAAGCTTGTAACGCTTGAATATCTTTTCACATCTTGATACATTTGATACACTGAATTAAACGATTTATTTTATTACATTTTTATTAAATTACAAAATTACACGGAATGTTTACAACGCAACGTGATTTTGTACGATTAAATACTAACTTGGCATTTTCATTTCATCTCGTTAACGTAAAACGTAATTCCGTTTTACGGTATTTTATTTTACGACAAATGGCAAACGTAACGGGTGATGTATCGCTCTCTGTTTCTGTTGTTCCTCGAGAGCACGAGCGCGCGTGTCAAATAAAAATTGAACACGCCGACACGCTGAGTGAATGGCCGCACGTGCGCGGAAGACGTCCGCAAGATTTATTGCAAGGCCTTGTGCAACGTATAAATAAAGGCTCGCGTAACCTTGATAGCTTTCCAATATTCCGCGATATTTCGCATTTTCAGATAATATTACAGGTATTGAATAGTTCTCGATAAGGCACGCGAAGCAAGCAAATACCACGTAAATAGAACAGAAAGCTACACCTCCGACGTATCTTCGAAACTTTCCTCCCAACGATGGGAAAGTAGTTGTTTCCAAGTTATTTATATAATCTCCGACCATTCACGAGAGGTGAAAATTTCGGATTTATCGTTGCTCGTTAATTTCGTAGATTTTCGCCGTCAGAAAAATGTTGGAGATTTCTGTTTTTTTTTTCTTTTTTTCTTTTTCCTTTCTTCGTAGCTCGGTTGGTCAATTGAATCGATCACACTCGGTTGATGGACGACGATCTGGAACGTGAACAGCCACTCGCTTTAATAGCAAGTCGCCACAAGGCACACGCCATTATCAGCGTGTCATTCTATCCCTGACGAGGGTGGACAGAACACACAGGTCCCACGATGGACACCTCAATTTTCATAATTTTTCCACGATTGTTGATATTAAAACTACTTTATTGAAACAAGTTAAATAAAAATAAGTCAGACTCATTTATGTAGCAGATTTAGGTTAGGTTTCTAGCACCTTGAGGCTTCAATTTTCATAATTTTTCAACGATAATCATCGACACTGAAATGTTAAAAATAAGTCAGATTCTCCGAGATAGCAGATTTAGGTTAGGTTTGCAGTTTATGCCTTCAGGCTTCAATTTTCATAATTTTTCAACGATAATCATCGACATTAAAATGTCTAAAATAAATCAGATTCTCCGATATAGCAGATTTAGGTTAGGTTTGCAGTTTATACCTTGAGGCTTCAATTTTCATAATTTTTCAACGATAATCGTCGATATTGAATTTCTTTATTGAAGTAAATTTAAAATAAGTTAGATTCTCCAATATAATAGATTTAGGTTAGGTTTGTAGCTTATGCCTAGAGACTTCAATTCTCATCATTTTTCAATGATAATCATCGACATTGAAATATCTAAGATAAGTCAGATTCTCTGATATAGCAGGTTTAAGTTAGGTTTACACCTTATACTTTGGAGATTTATATTAGGTTTAGGTTAGGTTTGAAGCTTATACTTCGAGGCTTCAATTTTCATAATTTTTCAACGATAATCGTCGATATTGAATTTTCTTATTGAAATAAATTTAAAATAAGTTAGATTCTCCGATATAGCAAGTTTAGGTTAGATTTTCAGCTTATACTTTGGAGATTTATGTTAGGTTTAGGTTAAATTTGAAGCTTATACTCCGAGGCTTCAATTTTCATAATTTTTCAACGATAATCATCGACATTGAAATGTCTAAAATAAATCAGATTCTCTGATATAGCAGATTTAGGTTAGGTTTACAGTTTATACCTTGAGGCTTCAATTTTCATAATTTTTCAACGATAATCGTCGATATTGAATTTCTTTATTGAAATAAATTTAAAATAAGTTAGATATAGCACATTTAAGTTAAATTTGCAGCTCATACCTTAAGGCTTCAATTTTCATAATTTTTCAACGATAATCGTCAATATTGAACTTCTTGAAATAAGTTTAAATTAAGTCGGATTCTTTGATATATTATAGCAGGTTTAGGTTAGGTTTATAGCTTATACTTTAGAGATTTATGTTAGGTTTAGGTTAGACTTGAAGCTTATACTTCGAGGCTTCAATTTTCATAATTTTTCAACGATGATCATCGACATTAAAATGTTAAAAATAAGTCAGATTCTCTGATATAACAGGTTTAGGTTAGATTTACAGTTTATACCTTGAGGCTTCAATTTTCACAATTTTTCAACGATAATCGTTAATATTGAATTTCTTTATTCAAATAAGTTTAAATTAAGTCGGATTCTTCGATATATTATAGCAGGTTTAGGTTAGGTTTGCAAGATATTTCATCGAGCAAGTAGTCGAGCTTCGTTATTGCACAGCGCGTCTGACAAATCTCGTATTTGTACCACTAACTGTACACATTTTCATCTTATTGAAACGCTTCTGTTACTTCCGTTACTTCGATTTCCACGGGGAAACGAAGCGTTAATAAAATCCCGCCTTGTTCCTTGAACTTGGTAACGCGCGTCACGTTTTTTCACGTTAGAGCGGCCTCACGTATCTTCGAATTGCCACCGCGGAAATTTAATCGCATTTTGCTAATTTCGATTTATATTTATTATATACGTATATTTATATCTCTGTTTATTGACTCTGAAAGCGATATTTTCAAATCTAAATGAACTGATATGAAATTTAATGCATCTTAAGAAATAATATTTGGAAACTGATCAATGTGCAAACATAAGGTACAATGGATGAAAAAAAAAAACTTTTTGCAGTTACTGTACGTCAGTGGTAACTAAACGCCGCGCGATTCAAAACTGAAACACGTCGCGACTATAGTTACAACAAAAGCGATACCAATACGGAAGTTTCGCTCCAATTGAATTGGAATGGTATCGAAAACGCTAGGTGTGTGTGTGTGGGAGGGATGGAGAAATATTGCTCTTATATTTGACGCTGTCGGGGCCGATGATATAAACGTTGAGCGTTTCTTTGTCTCGCCGGAAATGCACCGTTGTCGTTCCATATTCGAAATAATAATATACAATAGTATAAATCTCTAATAACAGAGACGATGATATAAATCAGTTTCTACAATGGTTCGAGAAAGAATAATTCAATCGTTGGCAACTAACGTGTATAATCGTCTGACGTAAGTAAAATTTCTTTTACAAAATAATAAAAACGTAATGTGTTATTAAAAAATAACATAAAATAATATAATCATCTCATGTTTCTCGTAAAATAAAATAAAATGTAATTATGTATAGTTAAATGTAAAAATGTATATATAATATATACATAAAATGTGATAATGTATATTTAAATGTAATTATTATTATATGTAATAAAATGTATTGCGTTGTATTAAATGGTATATATTACTTTTATTAATAATAATAATGATATGAATCAGTTTCTGCTTCTAGTACATTCAAGGTAGTATAGTTCTGTACTCTATTGTGTTCTATTGTATTATATTATAGTATATTATATTATATTATTATATTATGGTATATTATATTATATTATTATATTATAGTATATTATATTATATTATTATATTATAGTATATAATATTATTATTATAATATATTATTATAATAATATTAGTATGTAATATTATATATAGTATATAATATTATATTATATTATATTATATTCTTATAGTATATTATATTATATTATCTGTACTCTATTGTATTCTATTGTATTATATTATAGTATATTATATTGTATTATATTTCTCGTGAAAATGAAATAGAATATAATTTTATTTTATATTACATATCATGTTGTGTTAAATGGTATATATTATTTCATACTTTTACTTTCATTAATATATAAAATGAGATATAAAAGAGATATAATATATAATATAAGATATAAAATGTCGATGAAATTGATGTAAATCAATTTCAGCAATAATTCGACGACTGATTTCTACAGTTTCTATTGTTGGTAATTGACACTGCACATACAGTACGTGTCTTTTTTTTTTAATTTAGAACATTTATTTATTATTTTGCAGGTTTAGAGCGTTGCTCAATAGACCGATTTTCAATGGCTCGGTGTTCCTCTTCGTCATTAGCCAATACGCCGCCACCACTTCCTTGGGAGACCGGACATGTCCTACATAATGACGCTACGCCAACGTGAGGTACATATACACACACACACACACACACACATACACACACTGTGTTTCATTCGCATTTTTAATATACCTTTTATATGAAAAGACTTGATCTACATCTTCTGTTAACACACAGAAGCGAGCTTTCATCGAGCGAAATTATATTATGGTAGTATAGTCTACTCAAAATATCTTTTCACTCTTTAAGGGGGTGATTCTAGTGTGAACTTTTGAAAAAAATCGATTTTTTTTTTGTTTTTTTGGACATAGTTTCAAAAATAAATCTCTGTAACCTTACGTGCGAACTCCTAAAAATTTAACGAAGTTATGGTTGTTTGAAGGACGCGACAACCAGCGTTATTGCAATAAATAAGCTAAACTTCAAAGGCATTTTCCTGGAAACTATGTTTTTCAGAACGGTGTCCATGATATCTGAGAATCTACTTGACCAATTGGCTTAAAATTTTAATTAAGCATTTAGTACATGCGTAACTATAGCCCAAAAAAATATCAGAATCGACCAAAAAATTTTGTTTTTTAATATTTTTTTTAGGCTTCCGAAGTTTAACAAAAACATGCAAAAATCGATAATCGAACTTCAAAGTATCGCCACTTTTTTAATTACCGACTTTTTTCTTTTGTTTTGGTGCCTGCTGTAGCCAAACTCATAATAATTAAGGAACATTCACGTTTTTTTTATTTCCGACAAGCAGACTGGCCGGAATCATGGACACCGTGAGACGACCTTTTTTAAAAGCGACTATGTTTGAGAGTAGACAATGACACTAATTTTAACTCTTTTTTATTCCAAAAAATTTTAAAACGTCAGAGAAATACGTACAGACGAACCTCGTCAATTTGACTGCAAAACGTATGATAGTTTCTTTGCAAAAAATTCCCTAACAAAATTAAAAAAAAAATACACGCACTTCACGCTAGAATACCGCCTTAAAAACATCCGACCGTGACGTACTAGCTGATTGTGAAAACATCCGATTGAGAGATACGTGTAAATAGCCGATAGCTAGAAACGGAATTACTTTCGCGTAGCACGATCAAGTCGGACGAATTTGCAAACACCAGAAGTTCCACCCTAACTGCGAGTCTCCCCGCCGATTTCACAAGAACCAATGTTAACTAAGCTTCCCCAGTTCGAAATAACAGAATCTCGTCGTAGATCGGCGTTAATGTGTTTGCACGACGAGCGTGTTTGCCAGCCCCCTCCGGCTTATTGTAGTTCAATAGTTCCGTCTTTCGAGTTGTTGGGAATCGTGATATCCGCGCTCACAGAGTTAAGTAGCATTACTTTTCATTTAGAACTTGGAATTAATTTCGTAATTTCTGTTGTTTTGCAGTTAGGGATGCCGCCACGCAAACGGAGGACTCTGGATCCCCGACGCATGCCAGTTAGTACAGCGTGGCGGCAGAATGGCACCCCGTGGCTGGTGACCTTGGAGCAGGAGGCAGCCGGTTCTTTCGAAACAACTCGTCCTCGTCGATAATGGAACGAGGTTGCTCGTTGCACGAGGACGCCGCGCAAACCGGACGGTTCAATCGCCGATTCCGTTTCGAAAGTAACCGCTTCAAAAGCGTGCCGGATTTAATACGAGACCTCGAGTTTAATTGACGCGATGTCGATAACGTTACCGTATATATATTATACTATTTATAGTTTATATATATATATATACTATATAATATATATATAATATATATACTATAAATAGTAATAATATATTATACTATTTATAGTATATATATATATATTATTAGTATATATTATACAATAGTATATATTAGTATATATATACTATATAATATGTATATACTATAAATAGTAATAATATATATATATATTATATTATTTATAGTATATTTATAATATATTATATATACTATATAATATACTATAAATAGTAATAATATATATATATATATTATATAGTATATACATATATGTATACATATACTATAAATAAACGACGCTGAATTGAATTCGAACAGTACTACTAATAATTTCCTACTAATCAAAGATCTAAGACTTTTTATAGATTAATGACATTTATATTATATTATATATACGTATAATATATATATATATATATATATATATATATATATATATATATATATATATATATATATATATATATATATATATATATATATATATATATATATATATATATAATCAGGGGTGATCGAGGCACACTGCCTTCGGTGGACATTTAAAAACACGATTTTTTCATCATTCAAGAACTAGAGGGATAAGTACATGAGTACATGTGTGTGTCTGTAGCAGTGAAATAAATACGAGATAAAGCGAATTTATTTAAATTTTATAATTTGAATGTATATATACAGGGTGTTTCGTAACTTGTGGCACCCACTTCGGGTGGCTGATTGTACGCCTAAAAATAATACGCGAAAAAAAAGTCATATAAATGTATGTCCTATCTGTCTTCGTTTATGAGATATAATGAATTCTCTGTTTTAATTACTTTTACAAAAGATGCTCGAAAATGACCAGCTTGCATTTGAAGGCAAGCCTGCACGCGTCTTGTCATTCATCTGGTTACTCTCCCTATCGTTCCTGGCGTTTCTCGAATTTGTCGGAAGCCTTGCTCTATTCTACTTCATAGCATTTCAGCATTTTCAATCGACGTTGCGTATACGATAGATTTTAAATGTCCCCACAAGTGAAAATCTAATGGATTCAAATCCGGAGAACGAGCAGGTCATGCAATAGGACCTCCACGACCAATCCATTTATTTGCAAAGTGTTGATTTAAAAATTGCCCAGCCACTCGGCTAAAACGCGGCGGAGTTCCATCATGCATAAACCGCGTACAAAGTCTAATATCGACTGGAACTTCCTCTGATACTTCGTGTAAACGCGTGCTCAAAAAATCAACGTACTTTGTGCCTGTTCGTTTCCCATCAAGAAAAAAAGGTCCAATTAAAAATTTACCAATTATTCCTGCTCATACGTTTAAATTAAACTGGTGTTGATGTCTTGAATGCACAATAACATGTGGGTTTTCCTCATCCCAATTATGATTATTGTGAAAATTGAATGTGCCATCCCTGGTAAAACTAGCTTAGTAGAGTTTTCTCTGTTTATAAAATTCATTATATCTCATAAAGGACATATATTTATATGACTTTTTTTCATTATTTTATTAATCAGCTCCTGAAGTGGGTCCCACAAGTTACGAAACACCCTGTATATATAGAGAGAGTGGCCGCTGAAAAATTAAAGGGTTTGAAAAAGTCGTAACTGGTGGTTTTCATTAATTGTACTTTCAAATAAAAAAAATGAAAAGAACGTGTGTTTCTTTTAGTAAAAGTTATTTATATTCCTTTGTGAAAGTTATTTTTGTTTCGTGTCATTCAGCGACCACCCTGTATATGAAATGTAAAAGCGAATGAATGCCTCCAAAAGCGATATCACTAACGATTAGCGCTGACTAATGATTAGTGTGTATCAACGACTTGTTCGTCATTTCAATTTGTATTTTCCGGTAATAGGATTTCCCGCCAGATACATACACACTTCGTAATAACCGCACAAATTAATAAATAGGTACGATAACGTACCTGCGACGTGAGTATATTACTGCAGGTATGAAATAGAGTTTAAGGAGTAATGCAATAACGTATATATATATTGTACATATTTCTGTCAAATTTTCATTTGATTCGTATCACGTTCCTTTTCTTTCTTTTCAATGTGTAAAAAAAATTAGGGAAATTACTTCGTTATCTCAGTCGAACGATACGTTTCGTTAATGTTATTTCAAACATGTTTCGCTGATTGCGCAGCGAGATTGCGAGTACGGCGTAGATTTTAAAGCATCAAGATAAAGTTTATCGAGTTTCACGTGTAAACGTAATATGCATAAAATCTACCACGTACGTTCAATGATGTAAATTCGAGGGAACATTATTATTACTCTCCCGAAACGACGTTTCCAGCTGTGTTTCCCCCCCATTCGTTCATTTACGCAATAAGACGGGCAATGTTACATCGTGTATTTGAATTTTGACGAGCGATACACGTATAGATATATTTTCTCTGTAATTAATTATTGTCGAAATAATTATCATCACTGTTATTATCAAAGTGATTGCCATTGCTGTTGTCATTACCATGTCGTCGTTATCGTTGTTATCACTACCATGGATCGCACGTTGCAATATTCTTCACGCATTTGCGAATTGAGCGTGATCGGAAAATGGGTAGAAATGGTGGCAGAATTCGCGTGAAATGCACATTCGAAACGGGAAGAAACGAAACGACTAAATGACTTTGTATGATCGTTGTGTCATTTACGAAAATAGATAATTACGATTCAGGGATAAAGCCTGTAGCATATAAAGCCCGGGGGATTATTGTTATCGGTTTAAAAACGCGATTCTCTTCGTGAAACAAAAATTCCTAAGTCGCGAACGCGTAGCCGTTGTGTGAATAGCGTTGAATAAGATCGTAATAGTATGTCTCTGTGTACACCGTCGGTGTTACCATACTATTTTACTATAACTATTTTACAAGCAACGTGGAGGGGGGGAGGAAAAGGCTCGAGAAACTGCAAATAAAATAATTGGAACCCTTGTTACGTTTAACTATGCACAAACACACTTATTGAACAGATTATTACTTGGTATCTTAATCCAATAATTATAAACACCGTTTAAAAATCTAGTAAAGTAGAAACGCCACGTTGTAATAATTCTTTCGTCAACTTCGAGGCCATTATATTTTATGAATTATTATGTGTACGTCGACATACTGAGCGGATTAAGATGATGAAAAATTTGATGGATCGACATTTAGATCGGTCTGAACGAGAGATCTCAGATCGACATTGTGTTTCTCTGTAACGCGGGAAATTTGATTTGGATTGTTTCGACGCTCGGTCGAAGGAGACAAAACGAAACGTACATGGACTAATCCTCGAGAGTATTACGATATTACCCCAACGTGCGTAAGATTGTGTCGACGATCAGGAGACACAGACAAGAGCGAAACACTGCCTGGTTGGCTAGCTCCTCAATGCCGAATAACGAAATGAAACATTTGTCGTCGCCTCGAGCGCGAGTAGCATCTTATCAAATAGGGCACAAATCATTTTTTTGTACGTTTCGAACGAGCGAGCGCGTATCAATTTCTATGTACCCAGGACTTACAACTAGCTTAGGGATCGATTAGTGAAAACGCTAAAATGCCAAGTTAGACAAAAAAGAAAAAAAAAAGAAAAATGTTTCCAATAGCGGGAAGAAAAAAAAAAAAAAAAGAAGAAGAATGATTACTAACCATCGATATACTTGCTACTGAAATAATTGCCTTAACCGGAGGGATTTCTCAAGTAAGAAAATTTGCAAAGCAAACGGATATTTCCTAGCATTGTTCATGGATCTGACAAGATTTTATGTTTCCCTTTCGCTTCATACATACTTGTTTTGTATGTTGCACGATATTTCCTTACTTATGTGAGAAACATTACGTGAGAAGTGGGAGAGAATATTTCTTTTTTTTTTTCCAACGTTACGTGTGTGTTAAATTCCCAATCACACACACGTGATCCAGGACTTGTGTGTGTGTGTGTGCTTCGAAAGAGACTGTTTTCGAATTATACGATACAGTATAGAAAGTATTTCAGCATAGAACTCGAGTGGCGAGTACTGGCACGTATCTACGGACATTCTGTCAATTATTTAGTGTGTTTTGCATGTGACGAGTTGTGATCAATTGTGTTGTAAATACTGTAGTCAGAATTTTATAAAATCCGTATTCGTGAATCACGACAGATTACGAAAAACTTCTTCTCCCACCCTCGAATGATTTTTCATTTAGGATACGTGCTAATATTCGCAATCGTCGAAAGCATCGTTTAAACAAATGATGCGCAAATACTTTTTATATTCACTGTATATATGTAGCCATATAAGAAACCGTGTATTTGTCAATGAATAAGCAATTAGTTATGTTTGTCTCGCGACGAGTCTCAAGTTGTATATATACATTTATAATATATCGTAAAACACGCATATATATATATAAATATTATATATATATATATATATATATATATATATAGGAAATCGTAAGCGAGTTATGTAATAACGAGTTCGTGAACTCCAACAGGTATTTGCATGATGCAATTAAGAAAAACAGCAAAAATCCGATATCATTGTATTATTTAACACCTGTCTTCTTGATCAACATACAAACAAGTATACCGAGATTTTATTTATTTATTTTTTTTTTAGGTCAAATGCATAAATATATAAATATATAATATATAGTGCATAAATAATATATAGTATATAATATATATTATATACTAAATATATATAAGTGCATAAGTGCATATTATACTATATATATTATATACTAAATATATTATACTGTATATATTATATACTAAATATTATTATATAATATATATAAGTGCATAAATAATATATAGTATATAATATATATAATACATATTATATACTAAATGTATTATATAATAAATATATAATATATATAATGCATAAATATATAAATATATAATAATTTAGGTATCAAATGCATAATACCAATATATAATATATAGGTAATGCATAAATATATAAATAGATAATAATTTAGGTATCAAATGCATAAATATGTAAAACTAGCTTTTGAAGGCTGTGTCTGTCGCCATCACGAAAGGATAGCAGACACTTGAAACGCAAGTTTCTCTCAATTAGTGACTTTTATTAAACAACTGTACAAATTCGCGCGCAATTGGTGACTTCAGTTGTTCAGTAATCTCTCTGTGTTTGAAGAAACATGGAGAAAAATGCATGCAAGTGAGGGACGATGATGGGAGGGGAAACGATTCAACGATTCATAAGATAAGATTTTCATCTATTAAATGATTATTATACTTTGAACATTCTTTTCTTTTTTATGCATCTCTGCGTACTGTGTGCATTCTGGATATGTTTTTTCTTTTTTTCTTTTTTTCATATACTTATTCGTTTTCGGACGCTCGATCGATCTCAAAATATCCGCATTCCTCTTAAAATTTCCCCTGGAATGAACTTCAGGCCATTACAACGAACAATAGGAATCCTCACGCAACAATAAGATAGGAAACAATTTGTTGGATCCCAACGCTGTAATAATATATCCCCTTACGATCATGGCACGCTTGCATTTAACGATAAGCTTATGTCAACAAAATCGTGTCGCACGGGTTTCTCGAAGTAACGCATGACGAATTTTCGTAGCACGTGAATCTTCAAAAGGAAGACGGTTCAAAAGAAGAGACACCGCGACGCACGTCACTGAAATGCCAAACAATATTCCGAATCGTATTGTCTTTTCGCTTCTATCGTAAAGGTACACTTTTCCACGCTCTTTCTCATTGTATCTACATACACAATGCCACGTAATACAGTGCTTTGATTTCTACTCTCTTACCACACGACTTACGTATCACGGTCTCGCTACTACTCGATTCGTAAATTAGTTTTCTAATTGTTTTCTACCATCCACGCTTGCTCGTCCAATAGAGCTTCATCTTTCTTCTCTCTTCTCTTTCGTCGTTCGAGGTGTGCGAGTTTCACGCGGAAGAATGTAAGAGTGTGTCTCTGTGAAGTCAAGAAAATATTTGCAGTCAAAGCACCCGAGGAACACAGGAGACAAACGTTAGACAGATTTCTTTTCTGACGTTAACGAGTCACTTTGAATCGCGCGTTTCTCCCCTGTGTGGTCCTCGTTCGTACAACGATCTGCTTCTTATGTCGGATAAAAATTTTACAGCGGTGTTCCTAACTTTTAGTAAACTCTATGATACATGCTATCTTATAAGATCTCGGACGCTCGCTACTTGTACACGCAACACACACACACATATACACACACACACACGCGTTTTCACACTGCCTCTACTTAATTAATTGGGCCTTGCAACGTTATTGAAACACGTTTAATCTCTTTCTGCGTTCTTCACGTTACATTCCGTCGCGTTGAGAAAGACGCGAGATTTATCATTCTCTTTAAAAAAAGAATTCAGTAAAACAATGGAATTTTTTTTTGCAACAATTTGGAATGCACGAGAACTGTGAACCTCCGGGCACAGTCGCAGCTTCGAGATAAATAATAATATCTGATAGATAAGTACACTTTGTATAATCTCTTCCCGTAAACTGTGAGGACTTTTAACTGTGACGAAGCATTACATACTTTTTTTTTTTTTTTTTTTTTTTTTTTTTCTTTCTTTTACTTTATATCTACAAGTATTACACTTAATTTTCTAAATCTTACACACACGTCGTGTAATCGTACGATTTTGAACTCTTGAAATCTCTTGCTGGAATGTTAACAATTTGTTCATTTCTTTTTCCTTTTTTTTTTTTAAACGTGTACAAAATCTTCGCGTTTCATGCACAAACAAAACGAGGGAGAAACAATTGAGATTATACAAGAGAGAACATAATAATCCCTCCATGTTCGGCAAAGTTCTCCTACCCGCTTTCTTACTCACTAGATACGTGTTCGTTAAAATATTTACAGCTTATCTTCTAGCGCTTACTTCTTAGAATTAATTTCTTTCTTTCTTTTTTTTTTTTTTTTTCTTTTCACGTTCATTGATACTCGTATGATAACGCACAGCACTTCCGGAACAACCTACCGCGAGATGTTCCTGTGTCTTGCTGAATTTTCCTAGTCGTCCGTTTCTGTCGACTCGTTCGACGATACATCACAAACCCATGTCGTTCAACTCTTTAATTATGAAAAATTAGATTTCTTTCCCAGTGTCGCCCAATCTTTCTTTCTTTTTTTTTTTTTTTTAGATACTCTGAACGCAATCAAACAAATTTAAATGCGCAAGAAAGGAACAGCGGATAGATATGTATCAAAAAAGTCTGCCGTTTCACGTATAAATAACAAAGCTTCTGTCATTTGTTTTTCTTTTTCTTCATTCTTATCTGTCGATAATTGAACACCATTGTAATTTGCAGGTGAAAATATTATACCCGAGGTAACATTGAGATAATTAAGAGAGCAACATTGTGTGATCTTTGAATACGACTGGAAGGAAAACAAGGTAATACACTGGGCACGGATATTTTTATACCTTCAGATGTGATCGTTCGCCTTCGGTTTAATACTAACAAACATTGAATGACTGTCGATAAGAATTAATTAGCAAAGGAGAGAACATTTTCACACGCTCTATTAGGAGAGAATATTCGGTAGAAAAGGACGATAACGAAATGGGCGGCATTAATTGTCGTGAGTGATCGTATACGTGTAGGATGATCCATGTTTATCTTTATCCTAAATTTATCTCAGAACGTACGAATAAATCGAGAGATCTTTGAATCTTTTACTTCCTTGCGACTCGACGTACTTTCCTTGATAAATAGACACGTGAGAAATAGATAAGCCTTTGTGTATTTATTGGCACTTAAAAAAAAAGAAAGAAAAAAAAAATGCCTCTCGTCTAATCTGACACGCAGCGAACGTGAACGTCTCGTGCGTGTTGAGTCATTACAGTTCGTATCTTTATGCGTTATCATTTCGTACAAACCCCGGAAATATAAAAATTATCGAGGAAACGTGTTTCCTCTTTGCAGAGTAAACTATTAAAATAGAATTGTCACCTCGGTGCTTCATAACAATCGCATTTATGAAACTATTACGCACTTGGTTCCAAAGATAATCTTCTACGTCGTTAAACGAACACTTCACACTATTTTGTAGTTGGGAAGCGTTCTGAACGACATAGTGGTTGTATTATTATTATTATTATTATTATTATTATTATTATTATTATTATTATTATTATTACGTCATTGTTGCAATTCGTCGATCTAGTTTCAAATATTGATAATAAAAATATTACCTAGGCTCGATGGCGCATCATCTAAAAACAAAGAAATAAATTAGAACAACAGATAGAGAGAAGTTTGCGAACGTCCCTGCGGACGCGCAATACAAATTGTCTCTGTGGTAGTACGTCGCGGGCGGATGTTCGTCTCCTGGCTTGCAATTATCGTGTTTTTCCTTCAGCTCCGCCTGTAAACCAGAGACAAATCAATTAGGGCGCAAACATTGAAATAAATTTTCTTTCTTGGTTTGGCAAGCTGTACAAAAGTGAACAAAAGTGTTGCCACAGTCGATAAGAAATTATCTATACTTTAAACTGTTTGAATTTTGTGAAACAATCAAGTTGGACTTGTTTTAGAGCGGGCAATGTCTGCTTTATCGACTTTGAGTTCTTTTCTTTTTTATCAGAGATTGACTTTACATCAAGCAGCGAATGGAAAAAATCCAAACATGTATAAAAACATTGGAAGATTTTTCTCTTGACTCGATTAACTATCGTTTTAAAGATTAAAATCTTCTTTTTACATCAACCTCTTGCTGTATCATTTTTTCCTTCGCCATTTCATCGAAGTTAAATGACAAAAGTTTAAAAAATTTTAACGTTTCAACCCTAATGTTCATACTTTAATAAAATAGCGAAAAAAAATCGCACAGCAAGTTTTAAGAGGTCGTTGTAAAGAGGATACTTCAATCTTCGAGATCATGATAAATTTAACTATGAAAAAAAATTTTCTAACAAAAGTACTTGAATTTTTACAAGTTTCGAGAACAAAAGTATCTTCGCTACATGGTATGAAAATATTTTTGAAGAAAAACCAATGTAGGACTAGTCAAAGTGGAGACCTCACACTTTAAAATAAAGCCAGCTGGATTATTATACGACTTTTTTTTTTTAATAAAGTTGTAACAGTTTGAAACATACATGATTTTTCATCGAGTGTACTTTCATACCTCTGCACTTTGAGTTTAGACCTATGATCGATATTTTCCTTTCTCACCTGACAAATGTCTTTGCACGGAGGGCAAATTAGAGCACCCTTGTGGAGCCAACCGTTTTGCATTATTCTAATGGCTATTTCTTGACCAGCATGGTAGCATGTGTACGTGTAATTTGCAACCTGTAAAACGATGTAGGTTTTAATAAAAAAAAAAAAAAGTTATGATAATTACATCATCTAAACACTCCATTATAAAAGATGGCTCTCATTTTGTCAACAAGTCAAAAAAAAACAATAAATTGTTTAAATGAATGGAAAAATTTTTCATTTAAAAGAACAAATTCAAATAATCTTCAGATTAATTTATGAATATGATGAAACTCCTTTTGAGGTGAACTTCACTTATTGAAACGAAATTTTAATTAATGTCCAATCATCGTGAACTCCTGAGAAACGAAAGTGACAGTGAGAAAAATTAATAAACTCTAATTTCATGAAGAGATAACGTGAATGGAGGTCCACCAATAATCAATACACATGTAATGTAAAGAAGAGAACAGTCCAATGCGTCACTGACCATTATATGCAATCTACCAGCTTCGCATATATACTGATAACACCCTGAGCCCCAATGTTGCCATTGCCGAGCCTGTTTACAAGTTCTTTCCTCCCACATTTGGTTCGTGTGATCGAAGCACCTTGAATGCGGGCCATACTTCTCCAGAGCGAAATTCTTGTCCGGATCTGTCAATGAAAATTCGAACGTCAATATAGAATCTAGTATAAAAAAAAAAAAAAAAAAGAAGAACAAACTAATAACAAAGGGTGTTTTATTTTATTCCTTATTCAAAAGTTGAACATCTATCAAATTCATTGAAAGGATGTTTTATTTTATTCTTATTAAAAGTTGAACGTTTATCAAATTCATTAAAAGTTTCCCTCGTTATGGAAGAACAGAATTTCTATTATCATATGCCGTGCAACTTACGCGGATTGTTCTCCTCGTAGAGACAATGAGAGCCTCTGACTACTATGTTCCGAGCTCTCCATGTAAACTCTTGAATGTACGGACAATAATCTGCCAGAGATACCGAACCGCCATAGTATTGTTCCTCACCGGCTGGCACGTGGGGAATAGAGTCAAAGTTCTGGGGAACAAGAGAACACGTCGATACTTTTCACAAAATATCGCAGAGCTGCGAAACAATACTTTGCGAAAATTAACTTGTCTTACAGCGCAGACAATATATATACGGATCTATGGTTTTGTACCTGGTATTTCTTAGGCAATGGCTGCGAATATTTAATTAGATTGCACAACGCCACTGAGCTTCGATCGTCGGTGCACTCGGTTTGCAACGGGTCCTGTTTCACCTTGTTGCAGAAAGGATGGATGGACTTCCCTCTGAAAAAGAACAATCTATTACATTAAAAATATATTGTGTGTCTGTGTGTGTGAATGATTAATTTATTTTAGAGATAATGTTAAACGTGGCGTAAAGATACGTACGACAGTCGGGATGATTTCGAAGATATCCACTCCTTGCACGACTTCATCGAGAAATCGCAGCCGAGGTTCTTCCCCCATCCTAATTCTTGGGCCATCGAGTAGTTCGCGCTGTACCATCCAGTGTCCTCCATAAGAGCGAGAGTTATCCTCGAGTAAACGGGATTCTGCGTATGCGTACCCGTCATTGCTTCGTTCTGAGATAATAAAATAAACTATCAAAAACCAATATATATACATATTAGATAGTAGAAATCAAAGAAATATTTCCTTATGGTCAATTATACATTTGTATTCTGTATATTCGTTATACTATATTCATATTCTATATATTTCCAGACCTATTTTTCCTATATATTTATTATACTGTGTTTCCTGTATATTCTATATATTTCCAGACCTATTTTTCTTACACATTTATTATACTGTGTTTTCTGTATATTCTATATATCTCCAGACCTATTTTTCCTATACATTATACTGTGTTTTCTATATATTCTATATATCTTCAGACCTATTTTTCCTATATATTTATTGTACCATGTTTCCTGTATATTCTATATATCTCCAGACCTATTTTTCCTATACATTTATTATACTGTGTTTCCTGTATATTCTATATATCTCCAAACCTATTTTTCCTATACATTTATTATACCGTGTTTCCTGTATATTCTACATATCTCCAGACCTACTTTTCCTATACATTTATTATACCGTGTTTCCTGTATATTCTATATATCTCCAGAGTTATTTTTCCTATACATTTATTATACCGTGTTTCCTGTATATTCTATATATTTATATTTATAGTATATCCATATATTACATTCTGTAGAATTATTAAAAATTAATGTACATTAGATATTATTATAGAAATCAATACTTCTTCCCTCAATTACATTTATATATGTAAGTATATTTATATTCTATATATCTGTTACATTGTATATTTATATTCTATATATTCCATACATTTATTAAATTTTTACATCAAACTATCAAAAATCAATATATTTTAGATTCTAGAAATCAAAGGAATATTTCTATTTCCTCAATTACATTTATATATGTAAGGATATTTATATTTTATTTATTTGTTACACTGTATATTTGTATTCTATACATTTGTTATATTTTTATATCAACTATCCAAAATCAATGTATATCAGATTCTAGAAATCAAAGAAATTTCTTTGCTTTAAATTCTGTACTATATTACTTTCTATAGAACTATTAAAAATTAATATTATTATTAAATAATATTAGATATTCTAGAAATCAAAGAAATATTTCTTTGTTCAATTATATTTGGATATGTAAGTATATATATTTTATGTATTTATTGTACTACATATTCATATACATATATAAATGAATATATATGTATGAATACAACTGTAATATATGAATATATGAAATACAACAAATATATGAATGAATACAACTATTATTTATATATAATACTGTATATAGTATAATAAAATTATATATAATTATAATTATTATTAATATAAATTAAAATTATGTGTATATATATATAAATAATTATATTATATAATTAATATATGTATAATATAATAATATTATACATACAATAATAATATGTATAAAATTATATATTAATACAGTTGTATTCGTTCTTGATTTTCCATGATTTCGATGATTGTTTTCACAGTTCACCATAAACGCGAATTTACCTCGAACACTCGCTTTTCCCAATGCGTTAGCGCGGTGCCGTCCTCTCCCTGGTCCTCCAGCTCCGCGCCCTCCAACTCCGGACAATTGAAATGAGCCTGGACCTCGGCACGAACTCTCGGTGTGACTATCATTTGCATCGACCTCTCCACGTATCCGCCGTGTACCTGCCAATATGGCCTGACCACGGTCTTGATCGTGTTGTCACTCCACTGATGCGTTTGCAATCTATGCGTATAATAAACGAGCATGCAGCGTTTATCGGTAGATAAAGTCAAGGACACTACTAACGAGAACAGTCGCCACGATTCCTTTAGGCTTTTTCCGATAATTTGACGAAAGACTAGACTAGGAGAAATACAAAGCATTTACAAAGATTTCTTCTTTTTTTTTTTTTTTTTTATGAAAGTTCAGGGTCGCCATAGTTTACTGCGGTAGACATTTTTGCGTTCAGAGTCTTGTAGCTGGTGTCAAAAATTGAACGACCTTCAGGTGACCTTGTGTCAAGAATTGAACGACCTTCAGGTGACCTTGAGCTTTAAAATTCGGCTGTGCAAAAATTATTCGATCAGAGTCAGTTTTTTTTTTTTTTTTTTGGAAATCTTTTGCACTAGTCGGACGAAATTTATTATTTCAATATGTAACTTTTACGATTTTATTATATTTCTCCGTTCGTATCACATTTGTGACGACTCGACGACAAAGGTATACAGTGTAAAAATACACGACAATTCTTTTATAAAATTATGCAACAATTCAATAATTTTTCACGAATGCAAGAAGACGAGACTGATTTACAAAAAGTATTTAGAATGCACTATGAAAATTACAAAAAAATTTGGAACACACTGTAAAACTTAATATTCACTAATATTCACTAATATTCACTAATATTCACTGTAAAACTTAATATTCACTAACAATATTTAGAATATACTATGAAAATTACCAAAAAAATTTAGAACACACTAAAACTTAAAGTTCACTATAATATTTAGAATATACTATAAAAATTACCAAAAAAATTTAGAACACACTGTAAAACTTAATGTCCAGTATAATATTTAAAATACACCATAAAAATTATCAAAAAAATTTTAAATACACTATAAAACTTAATACTCAGTATAATATTTAGAATACACCATAAAAATTACCAAAAAAATTTTAAACACACTGTAAAACTTAATACTCAGTATAATATTTAGAATACACCATAAAAATTATCGAAAAAATTTTGAATACACTGTAAAACTTAATACTCAGTATAATATTTAGAATACACCATAAAAATTATCAAAAAAATTTTAAACACACTGTAAAACTTAATACTCAGTATAATATTTAGAATACACCATAAAAATTACCAAAAAAATTTAGAACACACTGTAAAACTCAATACTCAGTATAATATTTAGAATACACTATAAAAATTACAAAAAAAAAAAAAATTTAGAATACACCATAGAACATACTACAAAAATTCTTTCACAAAGCTACTCAAACAACTCGATAATCTTTCACAAACGTAACAGGACATCGTCGAGACTGCGAATTGCAAGAAAAAATAAATTCGCAGACGTAGCGAAGACTTCTAAGTGAAGACTTCGGACTATCATTATGTCGTTAAAACTTATTACCGATGGGCGGCACTTCCGTAATTGTACAGAAGGCCATCCTTCCCCGATGCAATGACGTCTCTCCCGAGGACACAACATAATATAAAAAACCTCGTTGCAACTTCTGCCAATATCCCGCCAGTTTATAAAACTTTAACAAAGCACCTCGGCCGGGCACCAACAATACCGGCGGAGAAAACTCGCGGGAGAGGGATATCTTTGAACCGGCTCGGATTCATTTCGTTTAACATTGTCCATTGTGTGTGGACGGGGTATAAACCGTACGAATATACGTATATGTATATAACCGCGGCAGAGGGGAGGGCTTAAATACGAAGAAGAAAGGACGAAAGAGCACGTACGTGGAAGAAGCTCACGGTCAGATGGATTTGTGGATACCAGAGAGTGGAAACCGGAAGGTGACGAGGAGGAGGAGGGTGAGATCGCCTGCTAAGCTGGAAGTCAATGCGAGGGAAACGTCAAAAGGAGAGGAGGGGAGAGGTAGCAAAGTAACGCGTTCGCCTGACACGGCCGGAACCTGTTCGTTACGGTTCGTCGATTCGGATAGAGCCAAGAATACCCGGGAACACGAGGAATTTTCCAATTTTAAAGGCAGATACACCCGACCGTCAGAGGCCGAGGATACGTGAGGGGAAAGAACTCCTCGGTGGAAGAGAAACGAGATAGACAAAGGGACATCATTGCCGGGTGATGGATCGTCGAACAAAGCGACCTATTGCTATCGACGCAGGCTAGACATGCGAGGGAACTGTTTCCACGCTAGGTCCGCGGAGGTGGACCAAAGCATTCGCACGATCGACGAAAAATTGCCTAAATTTTCAATTTTTGTATGTACTTTAATATAAATGTGTATTATTATTTGTTTATAATATACTTATATTAAATATTATATATAAATATAAATTAATTATTAAAATAAAAAATATATATATTACATATATATAAATATTATGTAATATTAATATTTATATATATTGTATATATATTAATATTATAATATTAATAAATATAATATAAATATTACTGTAACTATAAATATTTATAATATGTTACAGTATATATTATTACATAATTATATTAAATATTATATAATATTAATATTATAATATTAATAAATATAATATAAATATATTTATAATATGTTATAGTATATTATTATATATTTACAATATATTTATATTAAATATTATATATGAATATAAATTAATTATTAAAATAAAAAAAATATATATTATATATAAATTATATTATTATTATAAATATATAATATTATAATATATATAATATGCTATATTTAAAATATATTTATAATACTTTAACATAAACATGTTAAAGTTGTAAACATACACTTTATATATAAAAAAAAATCTATACTTTATGTATATATATATATAAAAGAAAAGTCGTGTATCTCTGAAGTTCAAACAGTTTGAAATATTAATAATTGTGGATACTTTCGTTCGCCTATGTGTCCACATCGGCGAACGACACACACACGTTGTGGTTTTATCAAAATTCGTCGGATACGAATAATCGGAGAGGAAATCTATACTATCTTTGAACATTAACATACTCACTTCTCGTTCAACATTGGTTTTCCGGTGTCGCTTCTCCTCGGGGTTCTAGGCTCGCCGTTCTCGTCCCGATAGAAGGCGTACAAACTCACGGAGAACCCTAGAGCGTGCAGTATCTCGTGTTTCACCGTGCTGAGCAACGTTTCCAGTTCCTGCGGCTTCGTGCCGATGCTTTTTGGACAGAGATTTGCATGGCCGGCTATCGGTCTGGAAAACATCGAACGAAAAAGTTCAATACCTTGCTATATAATATTACCTGTATAATAATATAATACCTAAATAATAATATAATAATTACTATATATAATATCTATATAATAAAATGGTGATAAAATTATATAGGTATTGTATTATTAGGTAAAATTCATAGGTATTGTATTATATATTAAAACTATAATAAAATTATGTAAGTACTATATTAGTAGGTAAAATTATATAGGTATTATATTATTATACAGGTAATAATATACCTATATAATAATATAATAATTCCAATATGTATATAATAATGTAACACAGAATAATATTGTAATAAAATTATGTAAGTATTATATTATTAGGTAAAATTATATAGGTATATTATTACCTATATAATGATATAATACCTATATAATTTTACCTAATATAATACATGTATAATAATATAATAATTCCTAGATGTAACAATATAATATCTATATAATAAAATGGTAATAAAATTGTATTATTAGGTGAAATTATTTAGATATTATATTATTATATAGGTATATTATTACCTGTGTAATTTTACCTAATAATATAATACCTATATAATAATAATTCCTATATGAAACAATATAATATCTCTATACTAAAATGGTAATAAAATTATATTATTAGGTGAAATTATTTAGATATTATATTATTATATAGGTATATTATTACCTGTGTAATTTTACCTAATAATATAATACGTATATAATAATACAATAATTCCTATATGTAACAATATAATCTATATATTAAAATGGTAATAAAATCTATATATTAAAATGGTATTAAAATTACGTGAAATTATTTATAAAATGGTATTGAAATATATTGAAATGGTAATAAAATTAGGTGAAATTATTTATAAAATCTATATATTAAAATGGTAATGAAATTAGTCGAAATTATTTAGATATTATATTATTATATAGGTATATTGTTACCTATAAAATTTTACCTAATAATAAAATACCCATAAAATAAAATTATATAGGTATATTATCACCTATGTAATAACATAATACCTATACAATAATTTCTGTAAATTTTTTTCGCGTCTTCTCCATAGTCTGATCCGAACCTAACCTAAACGGACACCGGTGGTTTAATTGTAATTAACAGCGTCGCATCGTGGGACGACAGAGAGAGAGAGAAGGAGACGAGAGCAGGCAAATAATTTACCTGTCCAACGCTGCCTCTGTTTGGCAATGCGCTGCGTAAGCCACGGTTAATCCTTTATGGCATCTTTCAGTTTGCATGGCGGATACGTAGAAGACAAAATCAGCGCCATCTATGCCGGGCCCTGCCTTGCTTCCCTCCGCTATGCCGCAATTATGCCCCGTCGCGTTGCACGTTCTGCAAACCTGATCGTTAAGTAAATCCATTACATCCCGCTACTTCCCTCCCCGAATGTGCTGCAAATAATTCTGTTAATTCTACGAAGTATCTGTCGCTTGAGCAACTGCGATTTGCAGCGCACTGTTGTTTAAACTCTCGACGATTATTGTACCTTTTTTTTTTTTTTTCTTTCAACTCGGTCAGTTGTACAAATAAAACTGACGTCACTCTGTGGAAAACGAATAATCGCGCGATGATGTTCCAGCTGATCTCATTTTCAACTGTTCTGACAATCGTGAGGTCGGTTCTTTTTTTCTTTTTTTTCGAAAATGATTTTTAATGAACGTTGAACATTAAACAGAGTTTAAATAGCAAAGCACGTTAAGATGTCCTTGAATTTTTGGCAACACGAAATCGTGCGAAGACAAGTTCCGATGTTCAAAATGATCCTTTTCTTTTCACAGAGTCGCGTCACTTTGAATGATCAATAGTTTCATTCAGCTACTCGCTGAGAAAACTCGACCGATAAGCGAAACGATTGAACTCCTTACGTCAAGATGATCCTCCGGCACGACTACCTCGCCGCACATCGTGGTAGGTCGACAGGTGTCTATACAGTGGGTGTGATGATCTTTGACGAACACCTGGCTACTCTCGCATTTCCTGAAACACGCAGCAGAGTGCATCCATGTGAACAATCGCGTGTATATCACGTTTTCACGTCCAACAATCGGAGGATTCGAGCTTCGTGGCGAGATCGACCACGAACCAACCCCCGTCGTTGCACCGTGATCTGGAAAACTTTTGACTAACATCGATCCGTACACTTTTTATGCGGCTGTACATGCACGTTTCATACGTATGTATGGCGGGGTGCATCGGGAAAGGAAACGCTACAATAGAGGCAAGGATAAAACGGACTCTTGGGAGAAACCGACATCGAGGGTATAAGTGCACTCTGTTACGTAAACGTCCGCGATCGAGGAGCGTTCCTGAGACGTAGAAAAATATCGTCATTCCTGGTGTTTTGGATTTTTAAAGCGCACGAGTCTTTCCAAGATTCGTGCAGACGAACACTCCAGAGAAGCTCTCCCCTTTGCTCTTTTTCTTTTTCTCTAATTTTATTTCATTAATTCTGCTTTTCGCTCAGGAATGAAGAATGAAGAAGAGAAGTTCCGCCGTTTTTTTCTTGTTTATTTTACTTCGTTGTATTTCAGGAATAAATAATGAAGACTCCAGATAAGGGAATAAAGATGAAGAATCCAGAGAAGTTCGCTGATTTGTTTTTTTTTTTTTATTTTAATAATTTTAATATTTCATTTTAGTATTTTCATTTTAATATTTAAATATTTATTTTATTTTTATCATATTTATATTATTTATATTTAATGTTTAAATATTTATTTTATTTTTATCGTATTTGTATTATTTATATTTAATGTTTAAATATTTATTTTATTCTTATCATATTTATAATATTTATATTCAATGTTTAAATATTTATTCTATTTTTATTATATTTATATTATTTTATATTATATTATTTATTATATCATTTTTTTACTATATTTATATTATTTATATTATATTATTTATTATACAATATAATTTTAATTTATATAATATAATATAATTTATATTATTTATTATATTATATTTTTTTTTTATTATATTTATTGTACTTTTATTTTTATTTTCCCGAGATGTATCCAAGAATGAAGACGAAAACTCCAGAGAAGTTCACCCCTTTATTTTACGTTTTATTTTATTCATTTTATTTCACTACACTTTACCCGGGATGCATTCGAGGAATGCAAGTACGAGAAATTGAAGCGATCGACTTTGAATGAAATTAATGAGACGAAAGCGCAAGTGAATGAATTAGAGGAAAGTGACGAGAGCTTGGGTCGACGAGTTTCTTAAATCTTTATTCTATCGTAAATAGAGGGACGAGCGAGTGATACGGATTTAAAAGATTCAAACGACTATCGGTTATCAATTATTGAGACAGCAGCTTCGTAAAGTGGATGGTTTCGAAGGTTTCAGTATTCTAGCGACGCGACTGATTTAATTTGCAGCGCGTAATTTCAGATATCTCGTTAACACAGAAGTAAATAGTACGTAAATGCAGGTACGATGTTCTAAAATATACAGCGAAGAGCTATAAATCGTCGATAATTTAAACTGACATAACGATCAACTTAGTCTCATTTTGTCTGTTTTCGAGACAGTTCTTCTTCGAAACTGATTTTAAGTTCAAACGTTCGCAAGAACATTAAAGAAATTTTTCCGCAGCTAGATTTATTGTCATTTTGAACAGAGTTGGCTAACTGGCGGCCTAACTTTTCTGACTGCTAGTACTATCCCCTCCACTGCATCGATCCCATGCTAGCACTATCCCCTCCATCTGACTGCTAGTACTATCCCCTCCACTGCATCGAGCCCTCGTCCCCACTTTTCTGACTACTAGCACTATCCCCTCCACGGCATCGATCCCACCACTTGCTTAGTAGAGGGGATCGATGCAGTGGAGGGGATAGCCATTAGAAAAGTGGGGGCAAGGGCCCGCAGGCAGCCAGTTAGCTCTCGTTTCGAAGATTCAAGTGTTACCTTTACGACCCCTTGAAACTTGTTGCACGATTTCTTTTTCATAATTTTTTTTTTTTATTAAACTCTGAATCCCAGGACCAAACGACGAAAATTCTGACGTTGCGTCAACATTTCATCCTATTGTTCAAAATTTTATAAAATCGGTGGGGGAAAAATCGTACAGCAAGTTTCGAGGAATTGTTGTAAAACTTTAATTCTCAAGACAGTTATAAAAAGAATTTTTTAATGTTTTCACACAGATATAAATTTTGACGACAATGCAAAACCATCATTTGAAAGAAGAACGAGCTCTGCACTGTCAAAGTACAAATTTCACTCTTTCACACTCTCAAAAGGTTAGGTTGCACGATCATTTATGTTTCCTTTTTCTTTCAGTTGTGTCATCGATTTAATTGAACGATCACGTTTACGTTCAAGTTGTACAGAGTTGTGTCAATTTAAATGTTTCATTACCGTTGCTACAGTTACGCTCCTCGTACGAAAAAAAAAAAAAAAAATTAATTTGACCTCTCAAACGGATCAACGTGCGCACGTAACTCGAGAGGCAAATTGGCCCGTCCTTTCCACCTCTGCTTCGGCAGAGAACGAGAAACGCGTGTAATTTTCCCCTTTCCCTCGAATGACGTTTGTACCGGTATCAGCAGCTTTTTCACGAGGCCCCTGAAATTGCAAGATTTTATCTCGAGAAACGTCGCTCGATAAAACATCATCGATAAAAAGACGGCCGAAATCTTTCGCTCTTCCCCTCTCCGTGTCAGCGAGAACTTGGCATGGAAAAGCAAGAAAATAAACGACGATGAACCGATGTGTTTCAATGAGGGGGGAGGGAGAGGAGAAGGTAAATTGGTTGGAAACTGGTTAAATATTTACGAAAAGAATTTCTCCCGAACGAGCCAACACAGCGCGCAGGATTTTAAGGGCCGTCGTTAAAGCGTATATATATATTGAAACTGTAAATTCAAGGGAGATTTAAAGGCACATCCGCGAAAACCTGATGGCACTTACGACGTTGGCAGGATTTCCCAGAAACTGAGCCGGATCGAGAGAAAGAGAGAGAAAGAAAGAGGAGAGATGAAACCGATAATGAAAGAGAGTGCAGATGACGGCGAGTCGTATAAAAGCGGGAGTTATGGAGAATGGCCGGCTGAAGTGGGGATTTCAAATGATTTAAACCGCAGATTTTCGGGGGGAGCCCGATCGTACCGATCGTAGTACGTTACGTAAATTGACCGGAGCGACAGATTAACGGATCGAGGACCATTTAACTACGACGTGACGTCGCGGCGCCCGCAAAACTGTCTACAATTTCTTTCTTTTTCGGTTTCGGCGAAATTCGGAATTCGAAATTCGATTTTCGAACACGCTGCGAGAGCGTTTCGCCAAATAACTCTCGTTATGTTTGCAATGCTTGTTTATATGTTGTTTCATCTTGAAACGAAACAAACTGGGGGGGGGGGGGAAATTAAATTATAAATTGTCGTTGTTAATTCGAATGTCAGATCAAATTTGACTATCAAGTGTTTAACAATCGAGCACATGTCCGAAATAATGATAATAATCCGAATTTCAATGAACAACGTGTACAGGGTGTTTCATGATTTCTTAGACGCTTTCGAAAAAAATGTCTCGAGAAATGAAAGTCAGTCGGTGGTAAGGTTCTTCGTAAGTGGAGGGGCTCAAGTGTATTTCAAACTCACCTCCGCTACTTTAAGCGAAAAATACTTTTTAATATCTTTTGTTAAAAAAAAAAAAAAAAAAATACGTACGAATGATGAAAAATGTATCGTACCAAAGATGAAGAGAGACAAGTCTCATCTCTAACGCGTGAATTTCATTTCACAAAATCATAGTTAAAACATCCTTTCCTAGTCAGAAGCTACTAATCTCTCGACATAAGTAGGTCAATACCATTTTTTTTTCCTTTTTATAAAAATTATTTTCTATATCAAGCAATTTTTGATTTAAAAAAAAAAAATCGAAAATATTCGTAACTCGCGGTCCTGCGTATGAATATAAATATAGATAATTTTACGAGCGATCGTTGATCGCGACCGAGAGAGGAGCAGCGAGGGAAGGAGACGTAACGAGAGAAACGAAAGTAGTTATGAGTTTCGGAGATGGGACGGGTAAATAGATTTGAGAAAGTAAGAAAATGGAACGGCCGGTTTGCAGGACGGTTTCGTTTCTGGCATACGGTTTCTTTTATCGAGTTGGCCAGATCCAATAGGGATTACGAGAGCTGGATGGAAACGGGATAGGGTAGCGCGCAGTACGCCTCTCTCTCTCTCTCTCTCTCTCTCTCTCTCTCTATCTCGCTCGCAGGATTTCCTCCAGATCCTCTCGCGCTTCGATTCATAAATATCCCCCGGCTATGTAATACCTCGCCGAGAAGACTCCCACGAGTCTACCCGCATGATATTCACCATCGAAACAACTTCCTTCGACAACATTTTTACCCCCCCCCCCCCCCCCTTTCTTGCCCGTTTCAATCCGTTTTGCTTCCCTCGAACACCATAGAAATTCGCTTTGTCGCGTGTTGCGACGTATCGACGACAGAGTTCGAACACAATAAATTACAGTTAAAAATTTTCAGTCTCACTCGCCGATTGTAAATTGGAAAGTAAATCGATCATTGATCAGAGGAAGCTATTACTTACGATTTAATCGATTGGTGATGTTGATAATAATCATCAGTTGTGCCTTGTGACTAATAATAAATTTGAGAATTTTATAATAATAATTAGTTATTTCTTACGATTTGTAATTTATGATTAATTACGATTAATAATAAATGTTAATCGGCGATTATCAATTGCCAGTTGTCACATCGAGCTTGAGGGTTAGGAACTTGCTGAGAGCAAGTTGTTTCTTATGATTTGATTGATTGGTAATGTTGATCGTAAGTTATTTCCTATGATTAATTACGATTAATAATAATAATAATAGTTATTCTTTACGATTCGACTGATTAATAATAAATGTTAATCGAGTTGTCAAGCATCGAGTTTGAGGTTAGGAACTTGCTGAAAGCAAGTTGTTTCTTATGATTTAAT